CCCAAGAATCTGTCTCGTCTGAGGGTCCTATACCAAACAAGCATTAGCAAAAAATGTAACAGGTAGACCAAGTTCACATAACTGACCAACAGAGATAAGATTCAATTGAAGAGCCAGGAATGTGATAAGTATCAAAAAGAGACACAGTGGAAGTAGAGATTAGGCCAATATGACTAACAAACATATGAGAACCATCAGCAATGTGTATAGTGGAACAAAAGATAGTGATAAAGAAGAAAACATAGTGGAGTCAGAAGTCATATGATTATAGCATGCGGAATCAAAATACCATGAAGAGTTACCTGAGGTCATTGAAAGAGCAATAGAGGGGGGAGTACCAGATTTGGTGAGCACTTGGTTGATGATGGACTCAACATCATCCATAGAAAAGGAAGGAGCAGTGGAATCAATGGGGTTGTGAGTAGAAGAACCCTCAGAGGCAATAGTAGCATAGCGAGAACCTTGGCCAAAGTTGGACGGATACCTAGAACGAGAAGACTTGGTCTTAGATGAAGCAGTAGAAGGAGCTCGAGGACAATTGCTTTCTAGATGACCTGGAGCAGTCTTGTGACACGTCAAGCATTCGCAAACCTAGCACTGAACAAGAGAATGATTGGCTGGCAAGCCGCGGTTGCGACAATAACTGCATATACTAGAGGGCTGGGGAGATGAAGAACTCTGAGATGATGGCGTAACAAGAACAAAATCCATGGTTTGAGATTTGAGAATCCCAAAACGAGTCACCTCTAATAGTAGCTCAGTATTGGCTTCCTCTAAAGTGGGTAAGGGCAAACGATGGAGCAAAGAAGCATACACGAGCTCAAAAGTGCTATGAAGAGCCACAAGAAATTGTAAGAGTTGTTGATGATTTCGATAAGTAATAAACAGTTGTGCGTCCTCAGAATGTGCCTATATAGGCTCAGAAAGAGCTAGTTGGTCCCAAACAAATGACATCTGGGATAAGAAGTCATTGATAGACTGACCGGGTGTTTGGCTCATGTGATGAAGAGTCTGCAACAGTTGATATTGGTGAGCATGTCCAGTGGTCTGATAACGTTCCTTTAAGAAATCTCAAATTGCTTTGGCAAAAGAGGCAAGAGAATCATCATGCTGAAAGCGGCCAAACTAAAGGTTGATGGAAAGAACTGAGGTAGCCCGAAATCAAGTGATAATTTGATAATTCTTACTTTCCCATTTGTCAAGACGGTCATCAAAGGCAGAGTCAGTCTCATCCTCCCTCTGGTTGGGTTTGGAAAGAGCACCAGTAATAATCCGCCAAAGATGTTTCCCTTTAATGAAGCTAAAGAGAGTTTGGGCCCAACTAACATAATTAGATCCATCAAGTATAACAGAAACAGATTGGATGTTGTCAGTACGATCCATAGTTTCCAAAGTGGAGGCCACCAACAGATTTAGAAGGCCTAAAGACTTTAGGGATAGGTAGGGCTGACGTCAGCACTGAGCTAGGATGATGTTAGCAACTAGGTAGAGGCTGAGAAGAACTGACGTCAACGGCTGAATAGGGTTGACGTTAGTGGTTGAACCAAACAAGGCACGCGGCTGAGAGAAGTTGGGCGAAAGCCGAAGGAGAATCGGCTGAAGCAGAAGCCAAGGGCAAATGGTTGAGACGGAAGCCGACGAATCTGCTGAGGCGGAAGTCGAGGATGGAGCGGCTGAGGCAGAAGTCAATGGGCGAGCCGATGGCGGCTGAGGCGGAAGCCGAGGGAAGCCGGCTGAGACGACGCGTGTGAGAGCGTGGTGAGAGTGGAACCAAAGGCAACCGACGCGCCGGGCTTTGGGTGGCACGTGTGACGTTCGATGGAGGTGAGTCTGGTGGCGTTGGCTTCGTCTTGAAGAAAGGAAGAGGTTGGTATAGTCCAAATGTTGAACAAGAATGGACTAGATACACAGAAGCCAGCAGAAACCAATTGGAGACAGAACTAGAAAAAAAATGAGGCTAGGAGAGAACCCTAGGCTCTAATACCATGTTATGAAAGTAGAGAGAGAAGAGAAAAGAGAAACTCTATATTGAATTGAATGAATAATACAATAGGAGAAGCCTATATATATATGCATAAAAGAAACCTAGATAGGTACAGAAAAAGATAGAGATACAAAAAGATAGAGATAAATATAGAAGGAGATAGAGATAAAGATATATCTACAATACAAATAAATAAATATAATAAGATACAACGATAATAATATACAGCTAACAGAAATGGAGTGAAACTCTCAACATAATCTTCCACCCATTTATTTACAGTTGGAAAATCATTTTCATCAAAACTTTTAAAACCGAATACGCTATGTGTTTGTCGTTGATAGGTCATTATGTGAGACCCACGTTGAATGTAATAATGGCCCTGTTTGGTAGAACTTATTTCCAGCTTATTTCAGCTTTTAGCTTAATTTAAGCTATGTTGATGTGTTTGGTTCAGCTTAACAATACAGCTTATAGCTTTTTGTAAGTCAAAAATCAACTTATTCTTTGAGTGGGGGAGGAGAAGCTTAATTTATAAGTCAAAAATCAGCTTATGTTCACAATTATAAGCTATAAACTGTTAAGGTATAAGGTATAATTACTTTCCCACAGCTCTACCAAATGGGGCCAATGTTTGACATGAAAAATCACGGTAAATAGCACTTATTTTTGCTATTTATATTAGTTGTCTTTAATTAAGAAAAATGTTTGGAAATTCTAAATTATGAGCTTTAAATGAGCTCTAGGGGATGGACTCAGGGGCGGAGCTAACATGGGCCAGAGAGGTCACGTGCCCCCCCTAAGCTTTGGAATTTTTTTTTTTTAAAGCAAACATAAAGAAAATGTTTTAAATAAAAAAAAATTATAAAAATATTACTTTAAATGTCAATGATATTTTTAAAATAATAAGAATAATAATTGTCATTTTGATTGAAAATAAAGTGATTACAATATTATTATCTATGAAAATTCCAGTATAATAGTAATGTCTATCACTATTGACATGCAAACATAATTAATCTTAATGAAAATATATAATTTATTGAATTGTTAGTTACATTTGACATGTAGCGTTCATTCTCCATATGTTTCTTTACTATTGGTTGGTGATATCCCATGTTAATAATGACGTAGTATAACTATTAAATTAAATTTTTACGCATATTTTGTATAAAAAATTACTTTATCATTATATAATTTATTTTAAAACTTTATATCCATGACTTTTTTTAATGTTGTCCATGATACACTAATTACAAATAATATTTAGCTTATTTGGTTCTAGTTTTCAAAAAACAGTTTTCAAAAAATTCTACATTTTTGTTTTCCGTATTTTAATGTTTTCAATAATTTTTTAAAATATTTTAAGCAATTTTTTTTTAATTTTTAAACACACCTAACATATATATACCTAAAAAGTATAATATTTGTGAAATCTTTTTAAAAAAAATACACTAATTACCAAAAAATATAAAAATAATATGAAAATTCAGTACATTTTTTATATTTTTGTGTATTTATTAATTTTTTAAAATATTTTTTCACAAATATTTTACTATTTGGATACATATCTAAGTAATGTGCATCTAAAAAAGTAAAAAAATTATTTAAAATTTAAAAAGTATTCACTAAAACCAAAAAAAAATACGAAAAATAAAATATTTAGTTTTCAGAAAACTGAATTCAGAAAACTAAAACCAACACACTGATTATTATTATTATTATTATTATTATTATTATTATTATTATTAATTATTATTATTATTATTATTATTATTATTATTATTATTATTATCTTTCTTGAAGTTAATAGTAAAAATTTATGTGAATTATTTTTATAAAAAATTTTAATAGTGTAATTAATAAATGTCCCTTCTGATTTAATTTTTTGGCTCCGTCATTTGATGGACTCACCTATTAATATGATGTTTTGGTCTTACTGTTTTTTTGTTTTTTTTTTTGAATTTCTACCATATTAGTGCTCAATTAAAATTTTCAAATTAAATGGAGGAATCATTATTGTTTAATTAATTGAGTTTAGTGTCTCGTCTTTCAATGAAAGATCCAGTTCAATAACTTAGAGAGAAAAGTAGGTGTCATCACTAGTGATTGGAACACGTCGAGCGATCAGAGAAAAAGTTAAATGTCAATTAATTATAGATGATATAAACTTAAATATTTCATAATTTTTTATGATATTCATCTATTTTCTCACAAGTCACTGATCAGGTCAAGTAACCAGAGAAAAGCTATAGACGCTAATTAATTATAGATGATCAACTTTTATTTTATTTTATATTTTTGGGGTTAAGTGATAAACTTGAATTAGGCAACCTCATACCACTTTATTGTAGAAGTAGGAGATAAACTTTGGTTGCAATTGTATGCCTTCGTTTGGCCTACAAGGTTTTTGAGTTTTTTTTTTTTTTTTTTTGCTAAAATAGTCACAAAAAAATAAAATAAATTTTTTAATTTAATAAGATAAAATGTTACATTTAAATCATAATTATTTTATTTTTTCTTTTACAAAAGTTAAAAAAATCAAAAAGTCTATCCCAAATAAGACTTTTTAGCCCCAGGCTAAGGTCTCACTTGGGAACAGACCATTTTAGTAACTTTTTAGTTTGTTGGCTAAAATATGAGATAAAAAAATTAGTATGTTTGGAATGACTTTTTAATTTTTTACGAAAAGATATACAAAAAGTATAGAGAAAAGAAAATCTTTAACTTTTTGATATAAATTGTTAATTTTCTAATTTTTTTTGTGATTTTTTTACTTTTACGCTAAAAATATTGAGTTGGTAAACAAAACATTACTAGTCGTTATAATTTTTTTAAAACTTTTAAAATCATTAATCATGGATATATATATATATTTCATTCATGAAATGGATAGCCAAGACTATAATATAACTAAAGAAAGAATTAAGCTAATAAAGAAATAGAAACAAATAAATAACACTCAGATTCTATATCAAGGAAAAAAAAAAAGAAAAAAAAAGAAAAGAAGATCAGATATAAAACAGAGACTAGTTTTCATAGTATTAAAAAACTTCATCTGCAAGCATTAAATTACATACTCAAATGAAATCTACTATCCGACTAACACATAAATTGCATATATAATTCCCGGAATGTACCCCAACAATGTCAGCAACAAATCGATCCAAAACTCAACCTGCAAAAATTCAAATTCAACCAACAAAAATCAAAACCCAACAATAACCAAAACCCATCACAATCTATAAAGACAAGAAAAAGTCTAAAAACACGAAACCGATCACAGAATTGGACAAAACTCCCTTACATGAAATGGGTGTGGATTAATTGTATCCAATTTTATAATAAGTTTGTGTAAATAGAAAAATTGAAAGAGATAATTAAGTAAAAATAAGAGAGGATTGATTGATTACTCCACAGCCATAGCGAAGGAAGACACCAACAGGAGGTAGCAGAATTGCTAGTATGACTTCAAGAAATGTCTCTGAGCCCATGGTTGATTTGTGGGTTTTGAAGTTTAGGAACAGAGAGAGATGATGTAGAACTGTTGAGGAGAGGGAGGGGGAGAGAGAGAGAGAGAGAGAGAAGATGGGGATGGAGGAGAAGTGCCAACTAGTATTAAGGAGCTGAAGAGTTGAGAGGTCGCCACGTGGTGGGAATGTAGGACACGTGGAGCGGTGTCCTGTTGACTCGTATTGTACACATTACAATTTCTTCACTCGAAAGTAGCTCGGTTGGCTCTTCGTCTCTTCAACCCGTCGCTTCAGTCCTGACGTCGCCATAAATGGGGACACGTGGCGGGCTGCCATTGGTCATCGAGCAGCCAACCCGCCGTTTTTGCCAGAATTTGAATTTGGGCGGCCTCTCGTGCTTACATATACAAGACCCCCCTAATAGCATTTCTTCTTACTGCTTCTTCTCTACCTGACGATTCAGAGCTCAAGCTATTTCCTCAGACTCGACTGCCATTCCTCGTGCTTGGAAGAACAGCTCCAACCTTTCACAAGTAAGATCTCCAATCCCTCTTGAGTTGCTATTTTCTTTCATATTACATACATTAGGGCACAAAAACATAGCTCTTAGGGCATAGGCCATAGAATCCGTCCCAAACTTCCCACTGTTCTTGGTGTTCTTCATCTTCATGAAGAACACTGAAGAACTGGAGCGAACCGGGCTCCTGGTCCTCTTTTGATCCAAAAACCAGTCTAACCGAGCAAACAACATGTTTGTCTCTACCCCAGCAAAAACCGAGATAGAAAAGGTTTTGGTCGCTCAACCGGGCTAACATCTGGTCTGCTTAGGCGACCGGGCTCCTTAGTTAGAATAGACAACCGAGGTGGTTTGGCACTCTTAATGACCGAGCTAAAGTCCAACTCCTCTTGCGCGACCGCGCTCACACTTATACTTGCCATCCTTTTCCTGCAGAGTCCAAAAGGACCACTGTCATTCCTGAGGCTCTCAGGACCGAGCAGCAACCAATTACACAGTGCCAAACCCCTCAGCCGGGATGCTAAGCCGGCCACAAATGGGGAAATTCCGCTTCCTAGTGGATACTCCGGCCGCGCTAGCTGCTTTCAGGGAGGAGTATAGCGTCCCGACCGATGTCCACCTGGAGCTCGCAGAAGAGGAGACCACGCCTTGGGGTAGAACAGAACAATGCCCCTTCACCGTGCTGTCGGTCGTCGAAGGAGGACTCCGGTTCCCTCTGAACCCGCTCATCACCGAGTTCCTACGCCGAATCGGGCTAGCACCCACCTAAGTGTCTACCAACACTTACCGGATAATAAACGGCGTGCACGAGCTAAACAACCGGTTAGGCATTAGCCTTGGTTTAGCCGAGATTCTGCGCCAATACACCCTAGGCCACACCGGCGACGGTCTCGCCTATTATCTCAAGATTAGACCGGGCAGAGAGAAAATCGTGACCGGCACATCGGACAAGGATCTTCACGACGATGATTTCTTCTGGGTGTCTGGTAACTACGAGACAACCGAGGTACCGGGCTGGATGATTAGCAAAAATTTTGGGAGCACATGTAAGCCGCGCAAATTATCTTGGTTTATACACTTTCTTGATGTTTCTGTACCTTAAATCATTCTCTTGTTCCTTTTGCAGCCATCCAAGCCTTGCAAGCCAACTATAACTTCCCCAACGTAGAGGCAATCAGGACCGTGCTTCGCTACCGCGACCGAGATTGCAACCAATTGCTCGGCTACAGTCCCACATACAGATACTCTGCTCCTCGCCGGAGTAAAGTAACTGACTTCCTCCGAGCTCCAACACCTCCACCAGATCCTGCTCTGCCAGACGTTCCCCTCATTCGCCTGACCGAGGAACAAGAAATGGCCAAGCGCAGCAGAATCAAGAACCTGCTCACCGCCACATCCGCCGAGCTGCCGAGCGTTGTAACTCGGTCGCCAGCCGCCGGTCAATCCAGTGGCGCTGTGGTCGCCCTTGCCTCTCAATCCGCCGGGCAATCCAGCCGAGAACCGTCTGCACGACGTGCCGGTAAAAGAGCTCGGGCAGACCCATCCGCCGAGCTGACTACCGAGCATCCATCTGACGCCCCCGCCCCAGTGCCGGCCTGGCGTCCACAGTTGAAGCACCGGGGTCAAGACATCCCGGCAACGACTTCGATCAAGGCTGACAAAGATCATCTGCTCGCCTTCGATCTGTCCAAAGCTCTGCTACTACCGAGCGACGTGGTCGGCAACGACCACGTCCCTGACACTCGGTTGGTCAAATCGTCAGTGAAGTCTATGGCCAGGGTAAGTCGATGTTCCTCTGAAAATTTCACAAGTGTTTGCCCGGTTCCGTTTCTAATCAACTTTGCTTTTTGCAGGCCATTCAAAAACAACACCTGGTTTTGGAGCGCATCCACAGACTCCGGCAAAAGGCCAATGACACAGCCAGCCAGGTCGAGAGCCTTCAAGCCGAGCTCGGCCGGGCTAAATCTTCTCTTGAGATGGCCAACGCTGATAATAACAGGCTGCTCGGTCAGCTAGGTGCGGCCGAGAAAAAACGAGATGAGCTCCAGACCGAGGTGGACACCCTGAAAAAGTCGAAGAAGAAAGCTTGCCGGGCTGCCAACAACGCCGGTTTTAACGAGGCCGAGCAGAGCTACAAGAAGCAAGTCTTTGCAACAAAAGACATATACTTCAAGGCTGGCTGGAAATCCGCCTGCGAACACCTCGGCCAGGGCTCTGACACCGACGTATTTGCCAACCCTCCTCCAGCTTCGCTACCGGTCTACCTCGTGCCTTATGCAAACGACGTCTTCAGCGCTTTGCAAGTTGAGGCCGAGGAAGGACTTGAAGAAGGAGACGGGGAGACAGATTCTGAGGCAGAAGAGGCCGAGGTGCAAGAGCAGCTGGGCAACGAGGAGCCCGGTGCCCAAGACACCAGTCCAACCATTAACCTTGATGCCGGCGAGGACGAATTCACCAATCTATCCCCCTTAGTTTAGTGTTCTTTTCTTTTTTGTATTTTTGCTTTCAACGCTTCTGATGTAACCGGGCTCTGTCCCCACCTTTTGTATTGATTTTCTTGTCAATGAAAAATTCAAATTTTGCCAAGTGTTTGCACGGTTGTAATCAATTCTGTCTTCAGCAAAACATCTCGGTAAAATTCATTGTTCGAACAAAACACCTCGTCAACCGGAATTCATAACTCGGTTGAAGTACTAAGCAGAACAAAGCAACAAATTCATAAACTGAAATAACCATCTCGGTTGGAAATAACAATGTTGAACAAATCATCAATACTGCAAACTAGATTAGATCATCTCGGTTGGGAATCCGAAATTGGACAAAACACCAACTCTTCCAACCGAAGTAAATCATCTCGGTTAGGAATCCGAAATTGGACAAAACACCAACTCTTCCAACCGGAGTAAATCATCTCGGTTAGGAATCCGAAGTTGGACAAAACACCAACGCATCCAACCGGAGTAAGTCATCTCGGTTAGGAATCAGAAGTTGAACAAAACACCAACTCTTCCAACCGGAGTAAATCATCTCGGTTAGGAATCCGAAGTTGGACAAGACACCAACTCTTCCAACCGGAGTAAATCATCTCGGTTGGAATCCGATGTTGGACAAAACATCAACGCATCCAACCGGAGTAATTCATCTCGGTCTTTAACATTAAAACAACAGTCCAAGTGCTAAAGCAAAATTACTTCTATAAATTGACAAAAGGAATTACATGCTGTAGTGCAAGCCAAAAAATTTCTTTGCACAAGAAAAGAAAGCAAAAGCTTAAAAATAATACAGTTTCAAGTTGGCTGCATTCCATGGCCGGGGTATTGCTCTTCCCTCTAAATCCTCCAAGTGGAAAGCCCCCTTGCCCGCCAGTCCGGTGATCTTGTAGGGTCCTTCCCAATTTGCCCCTAGTTTGCCTTCTCCTGGCACCAGGGTGTTGCCCATAACCTTCCTCAAAACCCAATCACCAACCTTGAATGGTCTGGGGTGCACCGTCTTGTTATATTTCTTGGAGAGCTCTTGCTGGTAGGCGGCCACATGGATGAGGGCCTTCTCCCGACGCTCGTCCACTAGGTCCAGCTCCAAGGCAATAGCCTCGGTGTTCAGCTCGGGCTCAAAACTCTCGCTTCTGAGAGTGTCAAAGAGTCAGATACAAGAAGCATGGTGTGTACAAGTCCACGAGTAAAGCACTCGTAACCTTCCAAAAAAGATAATAAAGAAGGTGCTAGCCCCGGGGCACACTGGACAAATCCAAATTGGCATGTTACTCTGTCAGGTTTATAGATGGTGCTATCAAGGCCTTCATCATGACATACTGGTAGCAAACTAGGACGAACCATTATCAACATATCAACAAGGTGCGTAGAAATGCCCTTTGGCAAGGGAAATGACACTAGTCAGAAGGAATCGTGATAGATAAGTGGCATTGCTACACCCACTAATGGGCATACATAGGGGTGTGCCACAAAGTGCCGAGGATCATCAAAAAAAGTATTTAGGGATAAAGTGGAAATGTCACGTGACCAACGTGTGATCAACGGTTGGCAAGTCTCCGCCTTGTCAAATATGCGAGACCTGTCATTACCAAACACAATGATATCCTCTTTATCTACTATCTCCAGAAGAACTTCCGTGCTTGAATACAGTTGGAGTAGGGGCAAACTTTGGGAACCTCTCAAAAAAGAAGCAGAGTAAGAACTAATTATGGACAAAAGAGACAGGCTTATACCGACCCATAGAACATACTATGTCTTAATGTAGCAAATCCAATCGGTAATACAAGTTCCCAAGAAATAGTGGCGCTAAGGGGATCTGATCCCCATTTCGTACAAGAAGGCCTCCACACTATTCGGGTGCACGCACTTTAGGTAAGGACCAGTGAAGGACTTCTTATACAACGCGCCAGATGGAGAGAGCCAAAACCGCTCTGACTTCACCCGGATTTTGTGTGCTGCTTTCTTGTCAGTTGGAAGAGTCCGGTCTCTGAGGAACAAGATCAAGGGATCCATCCAAGAAGGACCCAGCGCGGCGCATAGTACATCCGTCTGCCCGGCGTCTTCAATGCTTGGCCGCGGAAGGAAGTCAATCAACAGAGGGTTTG